AAAAAAAAAAAAAAAAAAAAAAATCACTTTTTTTTTTTGCAGATGGACTCCCCCTGACACCCGACACCCGCTTACCCGAAAAAAACTCCCGAACCCCCCCTCGAAGACCGCGTACAGACGGCCGGAAGTCCGTATGGGGCCCGTACGTACGGCCCGTATTCGTACGGCCGTATACACAAGATGGTCTCTGACCTCTTGTAGTCCGTTAAAGGTTGGCAGGTCCAGGGGGTGATCCGCCATGTTTTGGTCCCATTGTTCGAGTGTGTGCTGAAGTTTGCCTATAGTAGCTTTCCTTATACGAGATTATTGTTTAAAAAAAATATTAACACGCTCTCTGAGTTGGGTTATGCCTAAGTTGAACCAGTCCACTATTGAGGAGGCCCCGTCCTTTTTCATTGTCCAATGCCTCCAAAATTGTTCCACCAGCATTTGTAGGTCTGGCAGTTAAAGCAGTGAGGAGTTGAATTTATAGAAGCCCAGCCCTCGTGTTATTTGGTTATGGAAGGAAAATCCTAACACTATTCCTCGGTGATCGAACAAACGGCACGGGCTGATTGGTCGTATCTCTGCAACTGTCGTCAAACCTGTCAATGTTTGGGCAATCAAGAAGAAGTCAATTCGTGAGTTAGATAGCCCCGCTGCTACCCTCGATCTTAGGCAGGTGTAGGCTCTTTTTTAGGGATGGAGTTGTTTGTAGATATCGCACAACTGACGATCTTCTTTAAATGTTTTCACCAGAAGAACGTCATGTGTGAGAGCGTCACCTGCAGGTTGTGATGTGGATTGTCTATCCAGACTCGGATCTGGTGTGATATTAAAGTCCTCTGCGATAAAGGGTAGTCGTTCGAAAGAACCAAGTTCAACGTTTGCAAGAAACACAATCTTTCATTTGTGTCATTCGGTCCGTATACACTAACTACGCAAATGGGTTCATCGCCAATGGTTGCCTTTATGTAGACCCATCTTCCCTCCTCCCGATCATAGTCGTAATGGGTGAGGTTTAACTAGGATGATGGTGGTAGCCAAATGGCCACCCCTGCTGATGCCTATATCGTGGCCAACGCTGAGTACGCAGTATGAGGCCAATTTTGTTGTCGTTTGGCTTCGTGGTTGGGTGAATGGGTGAGATGTGTCTCCTGCACGCAGATGACATCCGACCAATTGTCGAAACTATGATCTTTTAACTCATTCCATATTGCATGTCGTTTATGGCTGTTGGTTGTCATCAACCCACTGAGGTTAAGCGAACGAATGTCGAGGTCCACAACTGTCAATTTTTTGGACCACACTAGAGGCTTACGAAGAGGGGGTGGAACAAATGGCGGCGGAGGGGTGGGGATGGCCTTAGGTATAGGAGTGGGGGTTGGTGTTGGCGACAGGGGGCGGACATCCGCAGTTTGTACGGGAAGGGTCTAATGGGGTGTTTGGGAGTCAGTCATTTGGGACTGGTTTTGGTCCATCGTAGTGGCAATATATGGAGAGTAGCGGTAGTTCTCCCTTGGTGGTTCAGATAATCGTCACTGATTGTGTGTCATCCCAAGCATTTGTTGGCTCAAGGAGGTTGTACTCCAGGATAACCTGCATGAAGGTTAAAATATGTTGTGTGCTTCAGTAAAAGTTTGATTTGATTCTGGTCGTTGACAAGCCCATCAATTTGTGCTCAGCAAACTAGATTATGGTCGAATCGTCTCTGGTTGTGGCTTGTATTGACTGCTGATAGTCAAACAGGGTCATTGCTAGGATGATCCCAAGGGGAAATGGATGATGTGAAGGTAACCCCACCCCTAGGGCACCTCTATCTTTGTTCTCTTTGATTTGAAGTCTGACCAGGCGCAGGGCCTCTGGCTCCCCAGACGTTCCCCTTCAGCCTTCCAAGGCAAGACTAACAAAGTTGTTACTATGCTTGTTGCACCGATGACTGCAATCTGCCAGTCGTCCTTTACTCCTCATCCCAAGTTGCCACTAGCAAGACAAAGGGTCCCTTTGCAAAGGCAGGATAAGGAGGCCCTATAGTGGTTCATAAGGCTGCGAAGTCTGGCGCGTCGGCAATGAGCAGACAAAGTCTCTAAGCTTACCTCTTGTAGTTGGCCTGATGGTCTGAGTTATTTCCTCCATAGTGGTCGGGGTCAAGGCAAACATAGGGGCAGCCTGCGGCCCTGTGGTAATTGCAGATCTTGTGAGGCATCCGACTTTTGGTCTGACACTTCACCCTGCGTCCTGTTATCCGAGGTGCCCGGATTTGATTGGTTGTCTGGGCTGGAGAGTAAGTCAATGACTTTGTCTGACAATTTTCCTGTCGATTGTTGTGATTCAGTGTCAGATGGTTGTGTGGGTGCTATATGCAACACTGGCATTAGCAGGTGTGGTGGGATCTAAGATTCCAATGGCGTTGGGACTGCGACCAGTCCAGCTTGGGTGCAGTCTGAGTGCAACACTTCTACCATTTATTGTACTAGCGTGTGAGGTCAGCGTTGGTCTTCGAGGGTGAATCCTAGGTCTGACTGTTTTGTCGAGGTAGAGGTTAGGCTTTTCTCTGTCTCTGTCTGGGGGGCTGCTGACCAGACTTTGTCCACGAGCTTTGTAATCGTGGTAATGATTTTTTTAGCAACGTGCTGCCAGTCCACCTGGGGGACTCATAGCTCTGAACCGTTTGTATGATTTCGATTTTTTCTTATATATATTATTATGAGCGTAAACCACCACACCCTCCGCCACAAGGAAATAGCCCTCCCGATGAGTTCGGGCGGGTTTTCAGGGAGGGAGTCTACCGGAGGCTGAAACAGCAGACGTAGTGCCGCAATTTTCATGAGGCAACTCTGGCAATTTTTCACGCTCAGAAAAATTCACAGAAAATTTTGAACATTTGAGGGTCGGTAGATTAGGTTGTGATCTTTCCATGAAAAATATCAGAAAAAAATACAATATTTTTTTTCTACCATGAAACAATCGCCGCGCCGATTGGGTGCATGTTGCAATTTCTCCACTGTGCCATTTCTGGGCCAATGGGAAGAATACTCCAACTTAAGCGATTTTTCGCACTCGGAAGAATGTGCCAAAGACTCTGAGAATTTGAGGGTCCGTAGATTTGGTCCAAGAAAAATATTTAAAAGAATTTAAAAAAAAAAATCTTGAAGACTTGAACCACGAAATAAATCGCGGAGGCAATTCAACACATTTTTTATTTTTCGCTACTATGCCGGTTTTTCACACTGTGCTACCGATCCCCTGAATTTGTTGTCATCAGAGGGAGTGCTGTTTTTTTCTTTTCTTTTCTTTTTTTTTTAAGGCTAATTCCTTAAGCCCGACCAATTCAACTACTTGTCGAATCCACCCCTCCTTTTCTTTTATTTTTTTACTGTTACGAGTTATTGTAAATTACTTACTCTCATCTAGTAAGGGCTGTCTCGTAGAGCCTCGGAAACAGGTATGCATTAGGCCTGAGGAGCTAAGATATTGAGCAAATTTCGAAGAGATTCTACCACGCCGCCCACGCGAAAGACCTGAGGAGTTGAAATACTTAACAAATTTTGAAGGGATCGTTCATAAGTGCTTAATAAAGCAGATTAACGCACAATTGGCTATTATTTTCCTTTGAAAACAAACCAAAGAACATCTTTGGTTGGTTCTGTCACGTGGAGCATTGCAGGCAAGTGGACTGCGACTTGGCAGGCCTGAGAAGATCAGATGTCGTACGATGCAATGTTTTATTTTATTTTTATTTTTTGAAAAATACGGTAATTAGTCAAAAGCTGAGAGTTGTTTGTAGGTAGCAACCCCTCTCTTGTTATATAATGTAGCTATAGCCTCAAGTACCAAGGGAGATGGTGATGCAGTGTCTAGATTATTACGTTGACTATGTGAATTGTGCAACTTTTTTCTATGTGTTTTGGATTTACGTACTTGGAATCTTTTTTCCCTTCTTTTCTATGGATGTGACCAGGACCAGTCATGAGATTGTCTTTCATAGGTTTCAAATTTTCCTTAAGTTGAAAATTAGTCAGTGAGTCGCTGCATGTTTAGGCTACTTGTTTCGAAAAAAGAGAGGCACGATTCTTGTAGTCATAGTAGAGTCTTGACGAATAATTGTGTTGTATGTTCGAAAATAAAAGGAAACCTCAAACAAATAGAACGATGATGTTTGTGAGTTGGGAATAAAAGAAGTGTGAAAACAAAGAAATTGGATATTGCTCAGAACAAGAATTGAAAAGTGAAGGGAGGGATGTAGCCAGTCAGACGAAGGCGGAAGATTAGAAAAGAAGTCTACAAGACAAAATCCAGGAGGCCGTGTAAAATTGGGGAAGGGTTTGCCTGCTAACAATGTAGCGGGACCTTAGCTGTTACTCCCGCTACTACGTATATGCAGACTCAGATGTAAAATATGAGAGAAGGTGAATGTTATCTTATGCCTGAATCCGGACATCTATGTGGAGAGTTATAGATGGCAGGCAGTGTCAGGCATATCCACCTCTCTCTCTCTCTCTCTCTCTCTCTCTCTCTCTCTCTCTCTCTCTCTGTGCCACATCTCTCTCTCTCTCCCTCTCTCACACAGCCAAATGAATATGAACACGCTTGCATGATAGCACACAGTCTACACACACGCACATACGCCTTCAGTGTCGTCCACCACCACCACCCTGCAACAAACTCGTTCCCCCCGACTTCCCCTTTGCCCTTTCCTTCTCTGTTTCCCTTCTCACTTTCCCGTCCTCCTCTCTCTCTCTCTCTCTCTCTCTCTCTCTCTCTCTCACACACACACACACACACACACACACACACACACACACACACACACACACACACNCACACACACACACACACACACACACACACACACACACACACACACACACACACACACACACACATGATTATTTGGATTGGGGTTTTCTCAACATGTGCGGATAATGTGCCTGAATAAGATGAATTTTGGACCAACTTCAAACACTGGATCACAACGCTGCATCATGAGACTACTACAAATATCATGTTAAATGGTCACCTGTCATCTCCTTTCCCCCTCTACCAGTCTGTCAGGCAAGGGGACTCGATTGTACCACTGCGTTCTGTTATCGCGATGGAGACCCTGGTATCAACAATGTGAAAAAAAAACGGCATTTGAGCGAATTTCAATACTGGAACTACCTGCTCAGAAGATCCTGGTAACCTCTTTGTTTGTTGATGACCTGACCGTCTTAATCAAAGTTTCACCCCATAGTTATAGAGCATTGGCGGAGACTATACACCTTTTCTCAATTGCGGTTGACATGAAAGTCAACTGGGGGGCTAAGACGGAAGGTCGGTGGCTGCAAAGTTGCAAAATTCTAACTTTCCACCACCAGACAATCCACAGGTTATCTGGTGTGCACAAGGGGACTCCGTTTTCATTTTGCGTGTACGCCTTACAACGTTAAGCCCTCCTAACTTCCTAAGGATCACGGTGACCATCTAATCTAGACCGTCATCCAGGCCATAGCAAAGTGGAAAGGGCTCCATACGTCGATCGTAGGTAGAGCCCTAGCGATCAATAATGCAATCTTGTCAACCATCTGGTACAGCCCTACGACCAAAATAGATTTCTCACAACTTGTATAAGAGGGTCATCTGGGTCCAAATAGCTCAACCTCAGAGCACTTGCAAAGGTGGGTTGGCAATCATCGACCCTGAGGATCAAATTAAAGTTTTGATTTTTAAGGTCATTGTTAGATTGCTAATAGCAGTGGATATTACATGGGCTTCACTGGCGCATATTCAATTAGCTAGCGTTGCCCCATAGTCGCCAAATAATAAATCAGTACATCCCCTTCCGTAGCTCACAAATCCGACGTGGTCATTGGTCAATCCCCAAAGCCCCGCGGAGGATTGATGACAATCGTAATTCTATTTTAGTGTTCACAAAAGCAAATATGTCAAATGACCCACTATGGACCTCCTTGATAGCCTTATGGCGAGAGCCGCGAGACATAGGCCCACAAAAGAAACCCCCAACCCCAAGGTGGGATGAGATCTGGAGACAACCCTGCTTAGGGAATCCCCACCTGCTAAATCTCCATGGACAACTTTTCTCCCTTAAACAAAACTCCCACTGACAACCATGGGTAAGGAAGGGAATTTTCACCATCGGAGAACTCTGGGACTACAGAGCAAGAGCATGGAAAACTGCAGAATAACTACTACGATCACAACTCATAAACACCAGAGACTTGGAAGTCAAACTACAGCAGATCCATGAGGCCATCCTGTTGGGATGGCTACAAGTTCTGAAACGCGGCCCTCGCCTTGGTAAAGGGGACTGGGTGGTGACAGCAACAGTGCACCGTCTCCCTATGATTGTTTATAGGGTTCACAAGTGTGGAGCAACCCAAGTACAATTACACACCTTCATATCAGCATTACCTGGGGCAAGATTTACTAACCTCACAAGAGACCCGGGTCAGGATGATGAACTACCGTGGACAGGCCTCATTCGTATAAGAGTTGTGGTCCTTGTGGGGGATGAGAAGGAGGATTGGTGGGCATACGAACCAACAAACCCCATTTCCGAGCTCCCCTTCAACCTAGCAGAATAGCAATGGGAAGGAGACAAGCCACTTCCGTTGTGCAAATACACGGACTGTTATAGAAAAAATCACAAAACAATGGATTCCGCAGGCATTATCAAAAACAATTGGCAATGGGATGCCGACCTGCAAGAATCGGACATACAGTTGTTCAACTGATCTCATTACACATGTTTAATGCCAACATCACAAAGAACACTTCAATGGCAGGTAATCTGTCAGACTGTGCCAGTGTCTGCCAATGCCGGATTGGGTGGTATCCCGATCACAGTTGGAAGTAACTTGGAACAACGGAAGGAACGTTCACCTATTTGTTCCTACTGTGGTTCATCTTCTCAACCGCAAATTATTGATCTTGAACACTGCCTGTTTTACTGCCCGATGTCACTCCAGATATGGCATTGATGGAGTGCGGTCTGGCACCATCTCACAGGCACTGATCTCACGTGGGACCCAACATCCATTTTATTGGGCCACCTATCACAACCCCCGCCCATGACGACCCCGTTCCAGCTCAACCTTTTCAAATATACTCGGTTGGAATTTCTTGTGGGGGTATGGAGAGCACGATGTTCCTATGAGCGAAAAGAGTCCAAAGACCATAACTTTGGATTTCCCCAGGCGAGACAGCACATTATTGACACCATAAGGACAACATCCATAAAACTTGGGTTCATGCAAACGACTTGATAAGCACATTGACAGATCAGACACAAAAACAGGAATACTAGCTTACTTTCAAGAAACTTGGCAAGACCCACAAATGAAGCTTGGTGAAACACAGGATACACTCCACCTCATGT